AAGAGAATGGAATTGGAGGTTAAGGTTGTTTGGGTCATGTCCTCTGAGTGAGCTTCACCAGGCCCGGACTTCTTCCTGTCCCCAGGATGCTGTAGCCAGAGAGCAGGTGAGGGTGTCTGGGGTACTGCATGGGGAATGGCAAGAGCAGAGAGAGGCTAGGGCCAGGGCTGAAGGAAGGAGGCACCAGCTCTGGCAACCTGGGCCTTCCTGCCTATCCACCCTCCCCACGTTCTTTCTCTTGCCAGTTAAGGAAACAGGGCCTGCTTTGTGTATGGGGTTGCTGGTGATCACAGCTGCATCTGGGGGTGTGGTGGTGTACACGTGGAGTCCCAGCTGCTTAGGAAGCTGAGGCAGGAGGATTGTTTGAACCCAGGAGTTTGAGGCTAGCCTGAGCAGCATAGCAAGACCCCATCTCAAAAAAGAAAAAAGAAAAAGCCCACACACAGCTGCATCTGGGGCCTCAGGCTTTGCCCTGTTGGGGCCTGGGAACTGCCCCTCCAAGCACCCCTTGGAAGGTACTTACCAGGTACTGACGAGGTGGCCTTGGGAACTGCCAGAGTTGGGGGAAGGGAGGTTGGAGAGTTGAGAAGAGTACTCCAACTGTAAAAGGAACACCCTGAATACAGTTCTCCACCGTGAGGGGCTCTGCCTGGCGGAGGGGAAAAGGGTCTTCCCATCCTGACCCCAGTCCTGAGACTCACTGCAGAGACTTCCGGCTGCCTCTGCCGCTACCGTGGTGCAGGCCCCTGTGGGGGGCGCTGCTCCCCAGTCAGCGGGGTTCTAGGCAGCGGGAGGGCCAAATGCCTCCTTCAAGCTGGCTGCACTGGGGCCCTGACCGGGCGGGAGGGCCGATAGAGGGTGGTGGTTATCACCCGCGCTTCCTCTTGACCCTGCCCCCTGGGTCCTGGACCTTGGCCTTCACCTCTCAGACGTGGTGCAGGACTCACCCTGGGCCACTCCAGGTGGGCAGCCTGGGGAGAAGGGCAGGACCTGCCCATGTGCCCATGCTACCCCGCCCAGTCACTGCAGCACGAGGCTTCTAAGGTTCGCAACCTGCATTCTGGCCCCTTGGTCTCCAGTCTCTCCTTTGAACAGCCCTGCAGCTCGCAGCAGGGAAATCCAGCCTGCCTCTTTCCCTCCGCTCTCCATTTCACCCCTTCCCTAGCTGTCCCTCTTCTCTGGTTCCTTCCTCTCTGACCTGAAAGCCCTCCCCTCCCCGAGTTAATCAGCCATGTAAAGAGCTGGGGCTGGCTGAGGGATGGGCCCTCCCCCCTCCCCCACCTGCGTTGCTCTCCCCTGCCTTCCCCTCACCCCTCCCAGGCCCAGTCCCTTCCCCTCGACGTTCCCTCCTCCATCTATCATCAAGGAAGGGCACCCAGGGGAAAGGGACTTCTGGATAAGCAAGTGGAGGAGGAGGGGGATTGGAGGATAATGGGGGAGTGCAGGCAGCTCTGTAGATAAGGATTTCCTGGGCTCCCAGGGATGGCAGCCCAGTGTGAAGGTGGGAGAATGCTCCAGAGACCTGTCTCCTCATCCTCCCAATGCCTGAAGGTGGGTTGAAAGGCAGGGTGGCATGGAGAAAGGGCTGGGGACTTCCAGGGGCCAGAACCCAGAACCGTGGGAATCTCAGCCCTGACGGTCACCAGCTGCACGACCAAGGGCAGGTGAGCCTGCTTCTCCATCTGTCAGGTGCACAGGATACTGTTCGCGCCGCAGGGCCTTGTACAAAGTAAGCTCAATGACTGCTGCTTCCTTTCCCTGCTGTTAGGGTGCTGGGCCACTCTGTTACCCTGAAATCTCTCCCCTACATCCTGGGTTCAACCCAAAAGCTAACTCTTGTACACACCTTCTATATACCAGGCATGTTCACGCCCATGATATCATGTAATCCCTATTTTATAATTGAGAAAGCTGAGATGCAGAGAAGTGAACTGTGACTAGAATCATAGTAGAAGGCAGAACAGAACCAGACGGCCTGACCCCAGAGCCCCAGGACAGGAGTGCCAGTGGCAGCAGGCTGCTGGAGGAGCTGGGGAAAGGTTTGCTGAGAAACTCAACTAGGCAAGAGCTTCAGAGGGGCCTAGAGTGGGAGTGAGAGCTTGGGCGTGTGCTGGCTGACCCAGGGGAAGTATTTTTCCCTCCCTGAGTCTCCTTCTTCTATGGACAGAAGATGGACTGGATGCCTGGTGAAGGCATTCACTTGCCCTGAGCATTCTGCTCCCTCCCCTGCAAAGGGACCCGGCATGGCACAGATAGGACAGGCTGTGGCTTAAAGCATTTCATAGGGTGAAAATTGAGTCCTCCTCTTCCCCACCCTCCTTCCCTCTCCTCGATTTCCTCACTCTTCCCCACCCCCATCCTGTCACTTGGGGCCTATAATCAATGAGACGTAAAATGAGAAAGTATCAGGAACCAGCAAAGCATGGCGAGCAGCTGGGGCGGCCTTGCCGCCGGGTGTGATGGACTGCCAGCCTTTTGCCTCGCCAGCCTCCCACGCCCTGACGTGGGCAGTGGCATCTCACCCAGCCTGGGCTAAGGCCCCTGGCTGGACATCAGGCAGGGGGCTAGCTCTGATGAGTCCAAAAGCCTCACCTTTAAAAAGGAATGAAATCTATGGTCTTGACATGGAAAGATGAGTCCAGGCTGCATGGTTGTCATAAACACAGGTTATATGATCTCACCTATAAGATGACGCCATTTTTTGTTATTATGTAGAAATACTGACCCCATACTGGGATTAGCAGTTTTTTCAGGAAGTAAGATTACAGGAGAAACATTCACTTTCTACTTTATATACTTTTCCTTTGTTGTACCCTTAAAACAAGTGTATATTGCTTTTATAATAAAAATAATCTGATAATAAATGTATTTCCATTATGAGGAAGGCTCACAGAAATATGCATGGGCTATTGAAAATGCTCAATGTCCTTGCTTTGGGCTGGGATTTTATCAACATGGTGGGAAGGCCTAAAGCACCAGATCCAAAATCAAAGCACAGAGTCTAATTTTTTTTTTTTTTTTTTTTGAGACAGAGTCTCCCTCTGTTGCCCAGGCTGGAGTGCAGTGGCACGATCTCAGCTCACTGCAACCTCTGCCTCCCGGGTTCAAGTGATTCTTCCTGCCTCAACCTCCTGAGTAGCTGGGTTTACTGGCACACGCCACCACACCCAGCTTTTTTTTTTTTTTTTTTTTGAGACAGAATTTCAGTCTTGTTGCCCAAACTGGACTACAATGACATGATCTTAGCTCACTGCAACCTCTGCCTCCCCCGGGTTCAAGCAATTCTCCTGCCTCAGCCTCCTGAGTAGCTGGGATTATAGGCATGCACCACCACGCCTGGCTAATTTTGTATTTTTAGTAGAGACAGGGTTTCTCCATGTCGGTCATGCTGGTCTTGAACTCCTGACCTCAGGTGATCCACCCACCTCGGCCTCCCAAAGTGCTGGGATTACAGCACTGAGCCACTGCACCCAACCAAATTTTTGTATTTTTTAGTAGAGATAGGGTTTCATCATGTTTGAGACACAGTCTCACTCTGTTGCCCAGACTGGAGTGCAGTGGCACAATCATGGCTCACTGCAGCCTCAATGACCTGAGCTCAAGTGATTCTCCCCAGTTAGCCTCCCAAGTAACTGGGACTACAGGTACACACTACCATGCACAGCTAATTTTTGTATTTCTTGTACAGACAGAGTTTCACCATGTTGCCCAGGCTGATCTTGAACTCCTGGGGTCAAGTGATCTGCCTGCCTTAGCCTCCCAAAGTGCTGGGATTACAGGCGTGAGCCATCTTGCCTAGCTGATTTTTTTTTTTTTTTTTTTTTTTAGATTCTCGCTCTGTCGCTCAGGCTAGAGTGCAGTGGCATGATCATGGTTCATTGCAGCCTCAACCTCTTGGGCTCAAGTGATCCTCCCACCTCAGCCTCCTGAATAGCTGGGACCACATACATGCACCACCACACATAGCTAATTAATTTATATTTTTAATTTTTTTGTAGAGACAGGGTCTCACTATGTTGACCAGGCTGGTCTTGAACTCCTGGCCTCAAGTGATCCTCCTGCCTCAGTCTCTCAAAGTGCTGGCATGACAGACGAGAGCCACTGAACCCAGTGAGTTTGATTTTTTTTGAAACAAGGTCTTGCTCTGTTGCCCAAGTTGAAGTGCAGTGGCATGATCATGGCTGACTGCCGCCTTGACCTCCTGGGCTCAGGCAATCATCCTGCCTCAGCCTCCTGAATAGCTGGGACTACAGGTGTGCACCACCACACCCAGCTAATTTTAAAATTATCTGTAGAGACAGGGGTTTCCCTAGGTTGCCCAGTCTTGAACTCCTGGGCTCAAACAATCCTCCCACCTCAGCCTCCAAAGGGCTGGGATTACAGGCATAGGCCACTATGTCCAGCTTGAGTTTGCTTTTTTTAAAAGAGAAAATCAACAATCCCTTAATGAGCCTGATTTTAAGACTTAATGTGTCAAAATATGCAGTTCTTAAGACAAAGGGAGAATAGGTGTAAAAGAGGTCCTTGGTGTTCACAGCCTAAACCTGGACTCAGGGTTGGCTGCTATCAGGGTTGAGGGGTCCCTACTGCTGGACTCCTTAGACGGCCTGAGAACCAAGCCCACATCAATGCTATTCTCCCTCAAAGGGACCCAGCCTCCCTCCAGCCAGCCTGAGGCCCACTGGCATGCAGGGACCTCTGAGAACGAGTGACTCCCAGGGATTCCTTGGCTCCTTACCTTCCAGCCTTCTCCTGCAACCAAGCCTAGGACACATGGGATTCTCCCTGAGCCAAGGACCCAGGCATGCTGTGAGCCAGGGGAAGGGGAGTAAAGAGGCTGGTGGCTTTTACCTTACATCTGAGGGTGGAGGGGCTGGGAAAGTACAGGAGGTCTGTGGGAGGTCACTCCAGAGGCTGGGAAGGGACAGGAGGGATTTGGTTGTTCTCAAGTGACCTATTTGATTTCCCCCTCCTGAGGAGTCAGCACACAGGCTGAAAGATGCAGTGAGACACGAGTTTATTGGTGGAGCTGCAGCGGAGTCCTCCCTCTTTCAGGGATAGCCAAGGGCACAGCACCAACAGAGGGATGGAGAGACAGACCCCCAAACAGACACAAGGATGGAGCAGACTCACAGAGACCATAGCACAGCCACATAGGCACAGAGACACACAGGCCACAGCACCAAGAACAGACACACACACACACACACACACACACACAGACAAAACCACAGGGCTAAGACACACGGACAAAGTGCGGGCTTGGGGCCCCTGCATAGACAGAGCGAGGGCCATGTGGGGAGGGGGCCCCTACTGACCTCCCCCAGGCATAGGCACACGAACAGCACATAGACAGGCAGATGCCCCCAGCCAGCCAGCCGGCCGGCCTGCCACACAGACAAATGGACGGCAGGGAAAGGATGTTCGTGCTCTCCAGACCATGTGGAGAGGGCACCACAGGCCTTCGACACACCCTGCCACACTGAGGCCCGGGAGTCCCTGCCCCTGAACTAGTCACATCTATCCCCCTGACTCCCAACCCACTCTCCGCCACACTTTGGTCTTGCCCACTGGGGCTGGGGCTGGGGCTGAGGCTGGGGAAACTGGCAGGTGGAAGGAGGGAGAGAGGAAGGGGTATGGACTTGGCTCGGTCCCGTCTCTGTGATCAGGGCAGCAGATGCTGAGAGTCCGGGGCTGAGCCTCGGCCTGGCAGTGGGGTGAGGGCAGGGCCATGGCTCAGGCTTGTGGGGGCTCCTGGCAGCGCAGGCACTGGGCCATCTCCGGCTGGTACTGCTCGACCTGCAGGGTGCAGCTGGAGAATCCAAACCGGGAGTAGAGCCGGGATGAGGCTTCAGCCAGGACAGCTTCAGGGTCAGCAGTGGAGTCTGTGGGAGAGTGATAAGAGGCGGCATCAATCCCAGGGGAGTCAGGAACAGGCAGGGACTGAGATAAGGACAGGGAAAGGGGCTGCACAGCATTAAAGCCAGGCGTGAATGGGAGCCTGCTTTTCTTTCTGTGTTGTATGAACAGCATAAAAGTGTCAAATCAAATGTTGGAGAGACTCACCCTAATCAACCGTGCTAACACACTAAACTCTTCCCAGTCTCCTATTCTCTCCTGTCACTGAGTGTCAACAAACAGCTCAACGTTTCAACAGCCATATCACCCAATTTCCCAGGACAATCCAGATGTTAAATATCTGTCTCATTGTCCCTCTAGAGTTTCCATCAAATATCCTACAAATTATAATATTTTTGGCATCCAAATTGCATGACTCTGATTGCTTCTTGCATCTGGAAGAAACTCAAAAATCCTTTGTCAGCTCATGACTCACCATATATATTTTTAATAGTTGAATCATAATGTAGATGCAATTTTATATTCAGCTTTTTTTCTCAGCATTATACCATAAACATTTTTCCTAGTTGCTGTACAGTCTTCATATGCATCATTTTTAACAGTTACATGATACCTCAGGGTGGAGGTGCCGTAATTTACCTAACTGTGCCCCATCACCAGACCTGTAAGTACTAATGATATTTTTTTTTATTTTTATTTTTTTAATAAAGAACATCAGGACTCTCTCTTTTTTTTTTTTTTTGAGACGGAGTCTCACGCTGCTGCCCAGGCTGGAGTGCAGTGGCGCGATCTCGGCTCACTGCAAGCTCCGCCTCCTGGGTTCACGCCATTCTCCTGCCTCAGCCTCCTGAGTAGCTGGGACTACAGGCGCCCACCACCGCGCCCGGCTAATTTTTTGTATTTTTAGTAGAGACGGGGTTTCACTGTGGTCTCGATCTCCTGACCTTGTGATCCGCCCGCCTCGGCCTCCCAAAGTGCTGGGATTACAGGCTTGAGCCACCGCGCCCGGCCTCTCTTTTTTTTTTTTGAGACAGAGTCTTGCTCTGTCGCCCAGGCTGGAGTGCAGTCGCACCATCTCGGCTCACTGCAAGCTCCACCTCCCAGGTTCAAGCGATTCTCCTGCCTCAGCCTCCTGAGTAGCTGGGACTACACGCATCCGCCACCACGCTGGGTTAATTTTTTGTATTTTTCAGTAGAGATGGGGTTTCACTCTAAAACCCAGATGGTCTCGATCTCCTGACCTTGTGATCCACCTGCCTTGGCCTCCCAAAGTGCTGGGATTACAGGCATGAGCCACCGCACCTGGCCACTAATGATCTTTTAAAGGGTTGTTGGTTCCCTGTGCTACTTCAAAGAGGGTGAAACCTCCCCCAGAACACTGCATCCAGTGGATGGAGACTCCTTGTGTCCAACATGCACGAGCGCGTGTGCGTGTGTGTGTGTGTATGTGAGAGAGAGACACAGACAAACACAGACAGATCAAGAAAGACCGAAACAATCCTAGTAACTCAAGCTATTGTCCCATGTTTGGGGTGGGGTATGTTCTAGGTAGTGACTAGCTGGGGCCAGTGAGACTCACCGATGGCCAGGTGTGCAGAGGCAACGTGGTAAGTGAGCGTAAGGGCCCACAGGTGCAGCTCATGGGTAGCCCGGACTCCTGGCACCGACAACAGCGTATCCCGCACAGGTTCGAACCCCACATTGCGGGGGGTACCTGCAACCAGCACCAGTCATGCCTTACTGCCAGGGCCACTCCTGCCCAGAAGCAGCACCCCCACCACGGGACTCCACCTCCCCTATCCTGTATCCACTCTCCTTTTACCCCTACAATTCACCCTATGCCCAAATCCTTGTTCCAGCAGCAGACCCCATGAGCCAAGCCTTCTTCCCGTACTCTCTTCAAAGCAAAAAGTGGTGGCCCAGTGCGAGAGTAAAGTCAGAGACAGCCGCAGGGGTGGGGAGCAGTGGTGCCCGACTCACCTTCCATGAGGATTCGAAGAACATCTCGGAGGGTGGGAGCCGTGGATCCAAGGGCACAGATGGAGAAGAGGAAGGTGCTGATGGGGTCGGCTGCCTTGTACTGAGGCTGCAGAGAAAGAGATCCCTAAGCCCAACAACCAGCGAGCTTCCAGGGGAAGATCTAGGGGTGTCTTGAACAAACAGGACCTGAGAGGCCCCTCAAAACCCTGCAGAGAGGACAGGGAACATGACTCATGTCTGGGAGAGTCCTGGGAGGTGGGAGGGAGGAGCTGGAGGGAGGGGAAGGAAGCTTTGGGACCTGGGAAGGAGGGGGCTGGGATGTGGAGTTGTGGGGAGGAAGGCTGGGGCAGGTCTCCAACAATGGTACCTTGAAGTAGATGAGGATGGAGGCAGCCAGTACCCCAAAGCTCTGCAGGAGGTCCCCCAACACGTGCACAAATGCTGCCCGGACGCTGGTGTTCCCCAGGGGCAGGGGCTCTTCAGGACCCTCCTCCAGCGGTGCATACTCTGCTCCCCTAGACCCGTGGCTGTGGGGGGGCCCAGCCTGGTGCAGCACAAAGGCCATTCTGAGGGGGAAGCAAAGCAGCTCAGCCCAGGGGCCTGCTCCTGGCCTCCTATGCCCCCATCTCCACGCCCCATTCTCTCACCTCCCCAGGAGCCCTTTCCCAGCCCCTGGAAGAAAACAGCGTTTTGCAAGAGAGACAAACAATGCAGCCTGGGGGAAAGAATACCAGACTTGGTGCCACACACGTGGATTCGGATGCTGGCTCTGTTACCTAAATAGATATATGACTGGGGCAAGTTACCTGTCAGGACTGACTGCATTAATGGTAAACTAGGGGTAATACTACCTACCTCATGGGGTGGCCACGAGGTTCAAATGCAATCATGTTGATGAAAGCCCTCATCAGAGTGGCTGGCCCATGGCAGGCCCTTAACAGAGATCTGCTGACTGAATTTTAGGTCTCTATCCCAGACCCTTCTCAGGCACACCCAGGGCAGCCCATGGAAAGCTGTGTGCGCATGTCTGTGTGTCTGGTGGGGAAGAGAAAGCTAGCTCTCCCATCCTGGAGGAAGACCCCTCGCCCTGGGCCCCACAAGGTGCCTGCTCCATACTGGGACGTACAACAGGTTGGCACAGACTGCGATGCTGGCGGTCAGCAGCATGGCACCCCCCTCGATGTGGTAGTCGCTGTGCAGCAGGCGGACGAAGGCCAGGTACAGGAGGATGCCAGTGACCATCCAGAGGGAGACCACAGAGGCCAAAGCCCCCAGAGTCTCTGCAGGGTAGGGGGGAGACAAGCTGTCAGAGACCTGCTTGGGACCCTGAGAGGTGCCCTCTGGCAAGACTGGAGAGTCACTGGGCCATGCAAGGGCCTTACCTGAACGGTGCCAGCCAAAGGTCATGGTGCGGGTGGCTGGACGGGTGGAAAGCCAGAGGGAGAAGAGGCTGCCCATCATGCTGCCCACATCTGCCAGCAAGTGGGCTGCGTCGGTCATGATGGCCAGGCTGTGTGCCAGATACCCGCCTGCCAGGGTGAAATGATGGAGTCTGCTTCCATTTAGAAAATATCATGTAGTGTGTATAGGCATGGAAAATAAATTGGGGGATATACACCAAAAATGTGAATTGGGGTTTTCTCAGGTGATGGGACTATAGGTATAATTAACTACTGTTATGGTCTTCTTTTCATTCATCTGTATTTTCTAACTTTTTCTACAATGATATATTTTATTTTAATAACAAGAAAATAAGGTTTTTAAAAGAAGCCAGCCCTGACCCATTGGCCCCAGACCTCGACTGGAATTCCCTTTGGTGCTCTGTCCCTCACCTCTCCCACTTCCTGAGTCCCGGGCACCCAGCTCCCCTATCCCAGCCATCCCCATCTCTGCATCTGCACCCAGGAACATCCCTGGGGCTCTGGGTGGAGTGGCTTGCGCAGGTGTTGGGAGGATGGGGTTGAAGGGCTGCTCCCCAACTTACCGACCACCTCCCCAGCCATGAAGACAAAGCACACGGCACAGGCAGCATACAGCTGCTTCCGTGCATGCAGCCTCTCTGGGGTGAGACCCGGCGGCGGCAGGGGGTCCCTGTGGCAGTGGTGGAAGGGCATCTCCACAGGTTTGGACTCCTCAGGAAGGGGCTCTGATGGCTCTGTGAAGAGACTGAGGCAAGCGACATGGTTCAACCTGGGCCTGGCCCACAGGCTGGCCTGCTCACTCCACGTCCTCAGTCCCCCATGCTGGCCTCATCAGACCATCTCTCGCTCCTTCCCCAGGCCTGGTCATATCCGGGAGCTGTGTCAGCAGAGGGCCACATGAGAGATGGGGGCTAAATGAACAGGTCAGACCCCAGCCTCCCTTTTCCTTCCATACACAGAGTCACAGAATTTCACAGCTGGAAAGCACCTTACAGATGGTCTAGTCTAACTTTTTTAACAGATGGGGTTGGCCAGGAGTGGTGGCTCACACCTGTAATCCCAGCACTTTGGGAGGCCAAGGCAGGCAGATCACGAGGTCAGGAGATTGAGACCATCCTGGCCAACATGGTGAAACACCACCTCTACTAAAAATACAAAAATTAGCTGGGTGTGGTGGCACGTGCCTGTAATCCCAGCTACTCGGGAGGCTGAGGCAGGAGAATCGCTTGAACCTGGGAGTTGGAGGTTGCAGTGAGCCGAGATCGCATCACTGCATTCCAGCCTAGTGACAGAGTGAGACTCTGTCTCAAAAAAAAAAAAAAAAAAAAAAGAGAGAGAGAGAGATGGGGTCTTGCTCTGTTGCCCAGGCTGGAGTACAGTGGTGTGATCAGAACTCACCACACACTTGAGCTCCTGGCCTCAAGTGATCCTCCCACCTCAGTTTACTGAGTTTCTGGGATTATGGGCGTGAGCCACCGCACCCGGCTCTAGTCTAACATTTTATTTATTTTTATTTATTTATTTATTTATTTATTTATTTATTTTTATTGAGACGGAGTCTCGCTCTGTCGCCCAGGCTGGAGTGCAGTGGCCGGATCTCAGCTCACTGCAAGCTCCGCCTCCCGGGTTTACGCCATTCTCCTGCCTCAGCCTCCCGAGTAGCTGGGACTACAGGCGCCCGCCACCTCGCCTGGCTAGTTTTTTTGTATTTTTTAGTAGAGACGGGGTTTCACCGGGTTAGCCAGGATGGTCTCAATCTCCTGACCTCGTGATCCGCCCGTCTCGGCCTCCCAAAGTGCTGGGATTACAGGCTTGAGCCACCGTGCCCGGCCTACATTTTATTAAATAAGAAGCATGAGGCTCACAGAGTTGGGGGACACATGGAGGCCAACCCAGCTAGTTGCTAGAGCTGAGACTAGACCCCAACCAAATCAATTTCTTATGCTAGGCACCCCAAAATGAGCAGGATTCCTGCTGATCTCTGAGAGCTTTTGGTGAACAGAGCAAGTATGTACCTACACAATGATATAGAGCGAAGGTGGCCACTGTCATTAGGGCGCTTAGAGTGCTATCAGGGTTCTAAGGATGGAGGGCCAGACTAATTATAATGAGGAAATCAGGGAAACAGATGAAAGAGGTAACATGAGAAGGGCCTTGAAGAATGGAAAGGATTTTGATAAAGGCAGATGAATGCTATGCCACGCACACCAAGGCAGTATGAAGGGAAGGTGGAATGAAGTATAGAATGGGACTCACCATGTGTTCCTGGCCTTTGTGTGCCTCCTTTCCAGGCCCACCTCCCAGAGCCTCCACTCCCGGATCCTGCCCCCGCCCTCTCTAGGCGTGCAGCTGAAGTGTGGCCCTTTAAGAGACGAGCAGGGACAGCCAGGCGCCCTGGCTCAAGCCTGTAATCCCAGCACTTTGGGAGGCCGAGATGGGCGGATCACAAGGTCAGGAGATTGAGACCATCCTGGCTAACACGGTGAAACCTGTCTCTACTAAAAATACAAAAAAAATTAGCCAGGCGTGGTGGTGGGCGCCTGTAGTCCCAGCTACTCCGGAGGCTGAGGCAGGAGAATGGCGTGAACCTGGGAGGCGGAGCTTACAGTGAGCCAAGATGGCACCACTGCACTCCAGCCTGGGCAACAGAGGGAGACTCCGTCTCAAAAAAAAAAAAAAAAGAGACGAGCGGGACGTTGGGGCCAAAAAGTCTGATTCCTGGCACAGAGAACTGATGGCTAGATTCCAGAGCTGGTGTTGTCATGGGGAAGAAGGGGTGCAGTCTGCTATGGCTGAGGATGGCAGTGAGAGCAGCATGTTAATTGGACTTCAGTCTGACTATAAGCACCCAGCAGCGCCTACCTTAACTGCATGGTACCATAAGCCTCCCTTGACAAATGAATGGGGCTTGGGACCTCACCTAGGGCTGCCAGAGGCTGAGTGAGCTCAGGCTGAGTGCTAAGTCCATTCTGGTTCAATTCTCACCCTTGCCACTACCCAACCTGAACCCAGCAAGGACAGAATCTTCCACAGAATTCAGGACCTAAATAGAAAATACAGTACTAGAAATACTCATGGAGGTGTGACGAGAATACCCATGAGTAAAAACGAGGGCTCCAGATAGAAACGTGATCATAGCAGCAAAGTGGAGCGGGATGTCTGGGGCCTTCTGGCTGAAGACAATTCTGCCAAGTGGGTGAACTGAGTTTTGAGGGAGGTAGGGGGAACATCTGGTGCTTGTACAGAAAACTGAAATACTGGTAGATTAATTTCTTGAATTTCCAAAGCCCCATCCAAGACTTAGAATCTGGGCGTGTATGATTCTGGGTGTGTTTCCAGAGGAGATGGGGTAGTGAAGGAGGCTGTGAAACCATTCCTCATTCGTTCAATGAGGTGCACCAGGCAGAGCACACATAATGAAGCCTGGTCTGGTGGGAGAGACAGATTGTAACAAATGGCTTACTACACAAGGACAGGCTGATGTTAGGAGGGTTACAAACAAAGCAGTTTGGGGTGCAGGGAAGGCAGCACCCCCTCACAGGGGGCTCGGAGAACTTCACAGAGAAAGGCATGTTTAAGGAGATGAGACCTAGGTGGAGAAGGGTATTCCAGACATGTAGAATGACAAAGACAAGGTTTGTGGCATGGAGTCTAAGTGTGAAGTGTCAGGGGAGGGCTGAGGAGGAAAGTGATGGGCTCAAAGGAATATAAAGGAAGATACACTGACTGCTTGAACAAATATGTCCTAAGCACTGAGATGACCTTGTTAATGGGAGGAAGAGAAGAGAGGAGAGGAGATGGAGGAGTCTAGAATAGACCAGGCCAGAGCTTCCCTGGAGGGTCAGGTAGGTTAGGAAACGCCTTTCAGAAAATGCTGCAGGATTGGGTGACTAATGGCCATATGAGAGTGAAGATGGACTGGAGCTGGAGATGCGAGTCTGAAGAGCAGAGGCTGGGTGGCTCTGGGGGCAGTGGGCAACATTCATTCCCTGGCCTTGTAAAGCACAGCACAGCCAGTCATCAAGGTGGCCACCCATCAACAGGCAGCTCCCTTTTGTTCTGCATAAATTGGGCACTAAGGAAGCCTGGCTGTTGGTGTGTGGGGGTGTGTGCATGTGGGGTGGCTACACGCTGTTTAGAGATGAGGAAAGGCTGTTTCCTCTCCCTGGCCCTCCGAAACCCCCAACAAACAACCAATATTGAGTGGGGAAGAGGGGTGACGTAGCAGGGGCTGAACCAAAGTCAAAAGGACACCTGAAGAGATGCCAGGCCTACGGCAGAGCCCTCACTGCGTCTCTGCAGGCCCCTGCAGGAAGGGGTCCAGCTCCCTTCTGCTCGCCCCCGCCCCCAACCCGGCTTGAAGGCCCCCATCCAAGGAAAGAACGAGAAGCACACAGAAGCACCACGTCAGAGACAAAGGGAGAGGGACTAGGAGAGAAGCAGAAAGATTGAGAGAGATGGGGTAGAGAAAAAGCCAGAGACCCTGCCAAATTCCCGAGACGAACGGACGGTCAGCCGACCGACAAGATGGCCCGCGGGGGTGAGCAGGAAGGCCCGGCGGCCGCTCAGAGGGGCAGGCGGATGGCGGCGGCGGGCGCGGGGGCCGGCGGGGCGCGTTGGCGGTTCTCCTACCGCCCCCGGCCCGCTGTCCTGGCCGCTCTGCGCGCCTCATTTCACACCTCGCCGCCCCCGGCCCCGTCTGTGCGGAGCCGGGAATACCCCCGCTGCCCAGACCGCACCTGCTCCTTCCTCGCCGCCCCCTCGCTTCCCGGCGGCCGCCCGCCCCCCAGGGGCCCGCAGGACCTGCATGGAGCCCGGCCCATCATCGGGCCCTGGCGTCCACAGCTGGCCGCGGCTGGAGGGGGCGCGCGGAGGAAAGCCCCTGGGCCTCCAGAGGGAGCTCTGAAGTCTGGGCAGCTAGGGGCTCCCGACCTGGGCCCGAGGCAATGAGGACCTCGAGGCACCTGGCAAGGGCTCCGGCCCGACGGAGCGGCAGCCGCTCCCAGGGAAGGCAGGCGCGGCGGGGGCGGCGGATGGGTCCGGCGACTTGGGACGCCGGCAGGAAGGGAGTGGGAGGCCGCTTCACCCAAGGAAATCAGGCAGCCGGGAGGAGGCGTAGTCGGCTGTGTAGGGCCGGGCGCTCCGTGCGGCCAGAGGGGACTAAGCGGGGTGCAGCGGGGACCAGGGACCCGCGGGGCGCCGGGACGGCCGCCGGGGCCCGCGCCGAGAGAGACAACGAAATGGACGGAGGGTAGTAGGGTGGCGCCCCCAGGCCGAGGGCCAGCCCAGGTCTGTCCTACCTCTTCAAACGCAGGCTGCCGCCGGCGCCACCGCGGTCCAGGTGGCTCACCAGGCGAGTGGTCTCCGAGCCCCCGGCGGCGGGAGAGGGCTCCATGTTCCCGGTGCCCCGACCGTCGAGGCCCCACCGAGGGAGGGATAGGCCGGGCCGGCCCCGCGCCAAGTCCAAGCAGCCCGCCGACCCCCAGGATCCCCGCAGGGCGGCGGGGCCACTAGAGTGGAGCGAACTGCAGCGACTGTGGCGCGCGGAGTCCGAACTGCAGATCCCGCTGCCGCTGGAGCCCCGCCCCGCGTGGGGCGAGCTCCCCAAGCCCCGCCTCCAGGCTCCCCAGCCTCTCCCCACCCTTAAGCCCCGCCCCACTGCCAAAGCCCCATTTCCCCGCGCCAGAGCCCGGTGAAGGCGGCGGGAGCGCCCCGCCACCCGAGTTCTGGAGAACTCCTCATCTCCGCAGCCCCGTCCCCCAGGCGAGCTAGCCCCTCCTCTGCACAAAGTCCCGCCCACCGGTTCCAAGCCTCGCTCCTCAAGCCCAGGGACCTCACGACCAACCTTCGCCCAACGACCATCACTCTGTGCATGCCTGCACGGGGGGTGTCGCCCACCACGCGGAAGCAGAAACAGGGGCGGACCCATTACCTATCTCCAGAGAACCAGAAAGAACGTGAGATGAGCGGTGACACACGGAGATTCCAGGGACTCCAGAAACCCCTCTACGGAGAATCTGGGGTCGGAATTCACTAGCCAAATCTGCTGCCAATCACTGTACCGCGAATGATCATTTATTTTTATACAGAAACATTGGGTGACAAGCTTCCTGCTCTCCTTCAACCCATTGTTATCCCTGCTTTTCAACTGAGTAAACTGAGACCCAGAGGAAGAAGAGTCCAAGGTCACGAAGGCTGTGAATGAAGGGCCCGGCCTGGACCCCCAACCTCTTTCCCTCCCCGGCTCTGGACGCCGCACTGGCAACTGGAGAGCGCGCACAGTCCTCTTACCGGCGGGGGCGGCCAGTGGAGTCGAGCCGCCTTTTTGGTGTCACGGCCACTGTTTATGGAGAGGGGGCTGAGGGGCAGCGTGTCAGCCAGTGATTCCCATCCTCCACACCTGCAGCGCCCTTCCGGACATTACCGCATTCTGCCTCATTTGGGGGAAACTAAAACCCAGGGGCGGGAGCGACTTACAGCAAAGTCGGTGGCCGAGCCTCAAGTCGAAGCTTCAAATGCTCAATGTTCTCTCCCCTCGCACCTGCCGCCACTGTAGAATGGGAGGGGGTGGGAAGAGGATTGTGCACTGGAAGCTATGACAGTCTGTGAAGAGGAGGGTCCGTAGGAGGAGGGGAGAGAGCGAGCAGGGATGGGGAAGCATGGAGGGTGGGAATGGTTAGTAAGCCCAGGCAAGAAACTCATCAGCCGCATCCTTCAGAACACACTGGGCGTCCTGAACTTAGGCTTCTGGGGACAGACACCTACCCTCGACAGTGTTATTCCAACGAGACCGCGAGTGCACTTTCAAAAAACAAAACAAAACAAAACAAAAAAACGGGAGCACGTGCCAGATACAGTGGTTGGAAGTGAGGGGGTTAACCCGGGAGAGCTTCGCGGAGGAGGTGAGGCTTAAATGGATTAGGCAAGCTGGGCGGCGGGCTGGCTGTTCCGGCGGGGGAGAGTGTGGCTTGGCTCGTGCCAAGGTGTGCGGGCGGCGCGTGCGAAGGGACTGTCCTGTGCGGCGGCTGCGGAGCCGCACGGGAGAGCCACAGGGGCTGCGCGCGCCGTCCGCGCCATCCCCGCCCCCGGCTGCGCCAGCCTTTCCTCGGCACCCGCCCCCGGCCTCCCCAGTCCAAAGCCCACGCTGGGTGAGGGGGCAAGGGAGAGAGGGGGTCTTTCTCCCTCCAACCTCCCCTTAAGGCGCGGAACTTGAGGGACCTCTGTTTCTCCTCGGGTCACAGGGAGGCAAATTGAGGCGGCCAGAGGGGGAAACCACCGGACAAGGTCACCTAGTCGGGCTACTTATCAGCGTCAAGGTGGAACCCAAGTCCCTGCCTAGCTATGCCAGGGCTCTGGGTACGTCGGGCCCGGCGCCGTCGGTTTTCTAAGCGCCGCACCCATCCTAGGACTCTCCCCAATTCTGAGAACCCTGGAGCTGGGATGCGCAGGGGCCACCGTGCACTCCGTGGCTCGGATGCGGCAGCCTGGCCCGTAGATACCTGGGCGGGTGAGCTCGAGAATGGGGAAAAACTGTGGGGCCCTATGCGGGGAACGGGATTCTTGGCACGGCTCAGCCGATGACGACAACAGGGGACATAACAACAATGGCTTCCTCCGGGATTTCCCTTCCCGGGCAGCCGGCGCGGCCAGCAGCCTCGAGTGCCGGGAGGGGGCGCAGACGCCCTCACGTGCCCTGCCCGCCCCCACCGGGAGCCAGCAGGCGAGGAAGGCAGGGGCGCCTCGCAGCGCGTGGCCAAACGTGCCGCCTCCAGAAGCCGAGGGCGCCGGCGGTGGGAATACCAACCTTCACTTGAAAATTTATGTAAGGAAAGCTTGGCAGCGAAACAGGGTGCTTGCACCTGTTCCTCAAAGAGCTATCAAACGGCCCTGTGAAAATCTTTGCAAAGGGCCCTCGCGAATGCCAGGCCTCAAGTGCGATTCTCTGCACTGAGGTCAGGATTTAAGCTGGGCTAGAGATTTCAGGCAAAATTTAAAATGTAAGCATGTGGACAAGAGTGAACACCTGACAAGTCCAAGCCAAGCTGAAGAGCATGGACAGAGGAGGCAACTGGAGGTCCAACTTCTACTCCATTCTCCACTCATATGTCACCTCCAGGAAGCCTTTCCTTTCTTTTCCCAGACAGGGTATGTGTCCCTCCCTGCTTCTCTCAAGGCTCACACTGTGCTTTTCTGATCCCAGCACTCACCTCATGGTGATGAAGTCCTTTGCTTGTCTGTCTGCCTGCTACAGGGCAAGCTCCCTGAAGGCAGGAATTGTGTCTTTCTCATCTGTGTTCCAAAACCCCACTCATGGCTGGCACACAGTCCTCAATTAAGCCATTCCAGAAAGGAGGAGCTAGCTGAGTGGAAGCAGGATGGAGGAGGGAGGATTTTAGCTGGTCACAGGGAGAATGAGGGAGGGCGGTAGCTTAAATGTCACTGCCTCGGGGAGGCCTTCCCTGGCCCCCACACTAGGTTAATTCTCATGTCATACACTCTCATCACACAATACTTTTTCTGTCTTTTTTTTTTTTTTTTTCTTTTTGGAAACAGGGTCTCACTCTGTTGCTCAGGCTGGAGTGCAGTGGTACAAACAAGGCACACCACAGCCTCGACCTCCTGGACTCAAGTGATCCTCCTGCCTCAGCCTCCCAAAGTGCTGGTACTACAGGTGTGAGCCACTGTGCTGCATCAACACACTATTTTTTTTCTTTCAGCACTGATCATACTGTAAGTAAATTGTTACCTGGGAATTATTTGTTTCATCATTTGGCTTCCAGGCTACCATAATCTGGTTTTCCTCCTACTTCACTGGCTGTTTATTTTCAGTCCCCTTTGCTGGTTCCTCCCCACCTTCTCAATATTTTCTTGCTGAATTAGACTAGGCCTTGGTCACTGTCTTCTCTTCTTTCCACACTCACTCCCATGGAGTTATCATCCAGTTTCCGGTCTTTAAATACTATCCAATAACAGCAGAAAGTAATGATTGTTGAAGCTAGATGTTGGGTACATAGAGAGTCACTGTATCATTCTCTCTATTTTTGTATGGGTTTGAATTTTTCTATTAAAAATGATTGGCCGGGCGCGGTGGCTCACGCCTGTAATCCCAGCACTTTGGGAGGCCGAGGCGGGCGGATCACAAGGTCAGGAGATCGAGACCACGGTGAAACCCCGTCTCTACTAAAAATACAAAAAATTAGCCGGGCGCGGTTGTGGGCGCCTGTAGTCCCAGCTACTCGGGAGGCTGAGGCAGGAGAATGGCGTGAACCCGGGAGGCGGAGCTTGCAGTGAGCCGAGATCGCGCCACTGCACTCCAGCCTGGGCAACAGAGCCAGACTCCGTCTCAAAAAAAAAAAAAAAAAAAATGATTAAAAATAGCCTGGCGTGGTGGCTCACACCTGTAATTCCAGCATTTTGGGAGGCTGAGGCAGGCAGATCACTTGAGGTCAGGAGTTCGAGACTATCCTGGCCAACATGCTGAAACCCCATCTCTACTAAAAAATACAAAAATTAGCTGGGTGTGGTGGCATGCAACTATAGTCCCAGCTACTTGGGAGGCTGAGGCAGAAGAATCACTTGAATCCGGGAGGCGGAGGTTGCAGTGAGATGAGATCGTGCCGCTGCACTACAGCCTGGATGACAGAGTGAAACTCCATCTCGTAAATAAATAATAAATGGCATCTGTGCGGTGGTGACTCTCAGATCTCTCACTTGGACTCCAAACTCATATATCCACATGTCAGCTTGACATCTCTTCCTTCTTGTCTGGTAGGCAGGCCTATCAAGCTCCGTAAGTCCAAAACTGAGCCCCTGATTGTCATCTCATCCTGAACCTTCTGTTTCTGCAGTCTTCCCATGTCAGAATATGGTAACTCCATCCTCCCATCTGCTCAGGCCAGACATCCTAGGGTCATCCTCGACAACTCTATTTTCACTCTACATCCAAGCTGTCAGCAAATCCTGATCCCGCCTTTTCCAAACCACCATCATCTGTCTTCTTGATACTGCAGTAGCCTCCTCCATGGTCTCCACGTTTCCATCCTTACTGCCCTCTAGTCTGTTCTCAACCAAGCAGCTAGGTAAACATAGGTCAGATTTGTCACTCGCCATCATACTCAGAGTACCAGCCAGAGTCCTTCTAATGGCCTGTAAGGGGTCCTACAGAATTTAGCTCCAATGATCTCATTTCACACTTCTCCCACCTCACTCCCCAGCCATCCTGGCCTTCTTGTGAGTCCTACAACACACCAGGTATGCTCCCACCCCAGGGCCTTCACATTTGCTTATCTCACCAGCTGTAACGTACTCTGCCAGATGTACTCATGACCTACCTCCTCACATGCTTCAGGTCTTGACTCAGATATGATCTGGCCAGGCCCTCTCTGTTTGTTCTTTTAAAAACTGCAACCTGGCTGGATGCAGTGGCTCACACCTGTAATCCCAGCACTTTGGGAGGCCGAGGTGGGTGGATCACCTGAGGTCAGGAGTTTGAGACCAGCCTGGCCAATATGGGGAAACCCCGTCTGTACTAAAAATACAAAAATAAGCCGGGCGTGGTGACACGTGCCTGTAATCCCAGCTACTCTAGAGGCTGAGGCAGGAGAATCACTCAAACCTGGGAGGCGGAGGTTGCAGTGAGCCAAGATCTTGCCACTGCACTCCAGCCTGGGCAACAGAACAAGACTCCATCTCAAAAAACAACAACAACAACAACAACACTGAAACCTCTCCCCCAACATTCTATTTCT